CTTCAATGGACTTTGGGTTTATTCCATGAGTTCCATGAGTTTATGAGTTTATTCCTAAGTATTAGATATGTTTTGCAATTATAAATTGCAGGTCTTTTTCTTCATATTTTCCAGCTTGTGGTTTTTGGCATGGAAGGATACTGTCTATTTTCATATAATAATTTTATGAGATCACCTTACTGAACTTCTTGTATTTTCTCTTTGATTTTTTTCAGTTGGTTCTCATGGATTTTTCATATGGACAATCAGATTATCTGCAAATAATTATTTTGCCTCTTCATTTTCTAATCCATTTACTTTTAACTTGGTTCAATTAATTGCATTGTCTTTTGTTTCTGAGAAATGCTAATAATGATAAGAGTAGACCTCCTTGTCTTATTTCTGAACTTTTCTGGGACTGTTTCTAGTGTTTTATTATTAACCAAATGCTTATATCTGTTACAGTTAGGCTATGTATATATGTATATGTATGTATCAAGTTAAGGAAGTATTAGTATCCTAATAAAAGCCAGTATCCTTTTATTCCTATTCAGTCAGAACTTTTTAAAAATAAACTTAGTAGTGACTGTTTAAAAAGATATTTTAGCGCAGTGCCTGGGTGGCTCAGTTGGTTAAGCGACTGCCTTTGCTCACGTGGTGCTGCCAGGATCCTGGGATCAAGCCATGCTTCCGGCTCCCTGCTTAGTGGGAAGTCCGCTTCTTTTTCCCTCTGTCCCTCTCAGAGCCCTGCTCATGCTCTATCTTACACACACACACACACTCTCTCTCTCAGATAAATAAATAAATCTTTAAAAATATTGAAAAAAGGATATTTTAGCTTTTATTGGGCTAATTATATTATGATTTTATGATTTGTTCCACTTTGATGTTTTAATTCAATGACTTATTTTTCCTAATATTCATCTGTTCTTCTTGGAATTGACCCACTTTGCCATGAATCCTTCTGTTTAATTCTGTTTTCCAATATTTTACTTAGGATTTTTGTTATTTATGCTTGTTTTTGAGCATGTGGGTGTGGGCATCTTCCTGTCAGGGTTAAATTTGCTTTATAAGAAGTAGCAGAAAACTACTTCCCATATGCACAGGAATTGTTTACATAACATTGGAATTATCTATCGTTGAAATTTTGAAGAAATTCGTCCCTAAAACTACTTGGATTGGGCATAATGGGAGGTCAGGGGTCACGAATACTTTTGGATGGGTAGAGTAGACTATTTTCTTAGTATACCTCTCTACACTCCAAACCAGAGATTAAATAAGTACATTAGATAGGCTTTTAGACTCCTTATTTGCAGTGCTTTTGCCGACATTGTTAGGCCTCTGATTGTTTCTGGAACCATATGGAAAATGGCTAACATAGCAGGACTGAACTGCTATCTCTAGGAAGCTCTGCTTTCAAGGTTGGCCCTTGACTGGTGTCTAGATGGAAACTTAGAGTTTAGAAGGGTTCCTGCCATCAGGTGATAAGAGTGGCTCACTTAAGCAGTTTGTGCAAACACTGTGGTGTATGTTGAACACAACTTTCCTTTTGGGAGTCTGGAATTTGGATACATGCCAGATAGGGGGCTACCTATTGGAACAGCATCCATTATAAATAGCCAGGGCTTTGAGTCTCCAACAAGCTTCCTGCTTGGTAACATTTGACATGTTTTGTCACAAGTTGTTGATGGGGGAATGAAGCACGTCACATATAATTCCACTGGGAGAGGACTCTTGGCAGCTTATGTCAGGTTCTCAGATTTTGCCCCATGTGTTTTTTCAAAACCTTTACTAGTTTTGTTTTGTATTCTTTGGCTGTAATAAATTGCAGTCATGAGTCCAATCATATGCTGAGTCACGAGAGTTCATTTCATAGGTCAGGCCAAAACAGTGATATTAAAAGGTGGTGGCAGAGTTATATAAATTTTAAAAAAGTCAATAACTGTGTCATTACAGGTGTGGAAACAATCTCATGGAAGTTAGAAAATTTGTCAGAGGTCACATATGTTGACAGTGGCAGAATGAGTTTTAAAGCTTAAGAAACAAGTCAATAAACAGTTGCACACCATGAACTTTAAAATTTTTTACAATTTTGTTTATCAAATTAAAGTTAGAGCTTTAAAAAATTAATTAATTAATGATATGTGTTTCTAAAATATGCTTTTTCTTTTTATTTTTTTTAACATCTTAATTTAGTTTTATTTTAAAATTGAATTAAAACACGCTTTTTAAAATACAGGTGGGTGGACCCAAACTATTTGTAGTTAAGCTATGGCATCGGACAAAAATATTTTCAAATATTTTCTGCTTATGATCTGTAGCCTTGGTAATTTTGTGGGCACCATTTGCCTCTTTGCAGTAAGATTCAAAATGGAATCAAATCCTCAATGAATTTTCTCAGTGGATTTATTTTGTGTGTGTATTTGTGCACCTGAGTAAGGTATGTGACTACAGCAGCAGAGTCTAAATTAGTGGCTCCTTTTTAGCCTGCTTGTTAGAATCACTTCAGAAGACTGATTCCATATTCTAGGTCAACCAAGTCACAATTTCTGCTGTGCGGTGCAAGCATCTTTTTCTGCCCCTTTTTAAAGCTCCCCATGTGATTCCAATGTGTATAGCTCATTGACAGTCACTGCTCTAAAATTAATACTATATGCCAATAAAATTATATTTATTCCATAGTAAGTGGCTGTTTTCTATACCTGGCAAAATTCACTTTATATCTTCAGTTGGAAAAGCGTGATTAAAAATGTAAATTTAGCGAAATGAAGTTGTATGTATTAAGAAGTACAGATCTGGAGAACCTATTAAGGTAGATATTTATATATATACTATTGATGTTTATTTTGTATCATTTGAAGAATCATAAATTTACCTTTCAGCTCATTAACCAAAAATCAATCTTTTCTCATCAAGAGTCATTTCATCTCACTTATGACCTGGGTAAAAGTATAAATGATAATTATACCAGGGAATATATTCACTGGGTATGTGCAATGCATTTGTTCAGGCAGGGAAAGAGTCTTTTGTTTAGAGCCATGCACCATCACTGAAATATGGGATAGTGACGTGACAGTTCATTGAAGAGTACTGAAGTTTTGAAGTCAGGCACCAGTAGATTTCAGAATTTCGTGGCTGACACAGGAAATGACCATATTATTTTGGACATCAGTTGGGTAATCCAGCCAGAAACCAAAACAAAAACCAGAAACAGTCTGATCCTTTAGAGTATAGCCAATCTTTGATCATATGTTAGAGTGGGGTTTGGCAAACTATAGTCTTGAGGGTTAAATCCATCCCTTTTCAGCAAATAGTTTTATTTGCTGTTTTATTGCAACATAGTTTTATTGGAACATAGCCATGCTCATTCATTTACTTATTGTCAATGGCTGTTTTTGGCTCCACTGGTCTAAACAGAGACCGTATAGCCTGTAAAGCGTAAAATATTTATCTTACCCTTTGTAGAAAGTTTGCCAACTTCTTCTGTGTTAGACTCTTGCATCACACATTAAATAATTTAATCATGCATTATTTGCTGACACTCCTAAATAGATCCTCTTAAGCTGAGTTTTGATCTTTCATATATAGGTGACTGGAGATGATTTGTTTTTTAAGGCTTTCAAGTGAAAATTGTAGTTGAAGAGGGATTTATGTTGGCCGTTAAGGGAGTATGCTGCTATCCCTTTGATGCTCCTAATCTAGGGGGCCCGGAGCTTGTCCACTTACCTGGAGTGGGTGTCTTCTTGCCTAACTCATGCTCCATCTCCCTCTGTGTCACAGTCCTTGCTGTTGCTCTCTCTGTTGAGGGTGGACATGGAGTAGCAAGGATTTGGGGAACCTGTACCGCAAGGATTTTTCACTGCAGTTTCTGGGGATAAAGAAATGTTTTTTGTGCACCTTGCTAATAATGGATCTAGATATGGACTTTACAGATGAAGAGTGGTTTAACCTTTAATCCTGGTCCAAGTGGACAGTTCAAGAAGGTGTGGAGGTCTAGTGAAGAAGGCACATCTGTCTCAATTCCCCTGGTCTCTGGTGCAGTAGATGGTTAGCGTAGAGGGGTAGCTGGCACCCCTCTGAGCGGTCAGCTATGTCTTTACCTGGGGCACTTGAATGCCGGTGAAGACTCTTACCACTTGCTGGGTTATTTACCCCTGGGAAAACAGAACCTGCAAATACTGGAGAGATTGAAGAATATAAACACTTTTAGCTTTCAAGGCACATAACTCTCCTTTCTAACATAAAAGGCTGTTAATCATGTTTCGATTTTTAGTTACATCTGTAGAAAAGCATTGCATACAAAAGCAAAGAAATGCCTGTAAATGAGATTAAATGTAGTGGTAAACACAGGCAGAGCTGTGAGGTAGTGGTAAACACAGGCAGAGCTGTGAGTTTGAATTAGAAGTTACAGTTTAAAGAAAAATATCAGGGTTATTCTTTATTTTCAGGGGGGTAAAGATTTCATTAATAAATGTCAGGCTATTTTTGTGACTCTAAAAGATTGTGTTTTAGAAAATATTTAGGGTATTTTCAGACAAAAGCCTCTGAAGGTATTTGGAATCTGATGAGTTAGTTTATTCTGCTTATGACTTAGGTCTAGATCTATGCCCGTATGACTCTCCTCCTGAGTATAGTTATACCCAACTTCATTAAGTAGATCTGTGCTACAGAGGAGTTCCAGTTGTTGGTTTTTTTTTTTTCCTGAGGTACCAAGAAATACGGGACCTGTAACTGGCACGGTTTTCTAGAATATAATGGCTCCAAGTGCTGTTTGTGTTAGAAGAGCTGGCATTTTTGTTTTCCTAGTATGATAAGACACTGAAGGGATTGGAGTTCATGGAGTCAGGCTGAATTACTTCTGAGAATAAATTGGTTGATAAAGATGGGAGTCATGATGCAATCTCTCTCATGCTATTTGTTTTAAAGTCTTTCAAATTCCTACTTAGCTCTGTTTATGGTATGTGATTTTCTAAGTGTACTTCCCTCCTTCCACTAATTCTTACCCCTTCTTTATATCCTAGATCAACGACTATCACCTGTTCTACAAGATGAGTAACAGCCACCCTCTTCGCCCCTTTACTGCAGTGGGGGAAATTGATCACGTGCACATTTTGTCTGAACATATTGGTGCCTTGCTGATTGGGGAAGAATATGGCGACGTCACATTCGTTGTGGAAAAGAAACGTTTTCCTGCCCACAGGGTAATTTTAGCAGCGAGGTGCCAATATTTTCGGTAAGTGTATATTATTTTTTGAAGATTCAAGTCACTTGTGGAAAACACTGGTATTTTTCTCCTCTATGAAAAATATGTAACAAAGCATAACAATAAATCTTTGAGTTCAACCTCTACAGGAATTCCCTCTTTACAGACTTTTTGTTAGATTTTTTTTTTTTTTAAATCACCTTTTCCTTCAGGAGCCACCTGAGAATTAGAGGGTGAGAAGCCTTCCCACGCTTGAATGTTCCACATCAACCATTATTTTCAGGGTGTCAGGAATATTTCTCAGTCTGAGTCTTTGCGGCCCTCACCTTTTCCTCACAGCTCATGACTAATGGAACTTAAGCTGATTTACTGGCAATTCGGCTTCTTGCTGTATAAGTGGACCGACCTCTGGACTTGCTAACGAACATGTATACCTCTTAGTTTCAGACCACTGAGGCCCAGGAAGGTAACCCAACAGATCTATCTCTGAAATAGGCAGTTTGGCAACCCTGTATTACGCTTGATCTTAGCCAAAAGGCTGAGGAGTGATGGCAACCCCAAATTAAAGGGAATTTAAGTATTTACTGAGATTTAGTTTTATTTATTTATTTATTATTTTTTTGAAATTTAGTTTTAAAACTAAGCAAATATATAACTAAAACTAAGCAGTCTTTATGTGCTAATTTAAAAAAAATAAAATCCTGCTTATACATAGCCCTTGTTTGTCACTTAGACCTCTAACTTCCAGAGTTATGAATGTTAAGCTAAGCTCTAATTACTCTACATTTTACCTGATATTTGTTAAAAGGAAATCATTACTGAATTATTGACTGAGTGATAAATTATCTTTGGTAAATCCGTAGTGTCCATATCTAAAAATCATGGATTGACTTGGGAGACTCATACCTAAAACCTGAGATGCCAGTGGCTTAGAGAAAATTACAGTTACCTTCTAGTGAAAACTACAGTCAAATTTTCACAACCAGAATTAAGTCAACAAAACAGTATCTGGAGTCACACACATTGTATTGAGGTGAGGCTCTTGGAAATATTTACAATTCAAACTCTTTGAGTACATTTTAAACATTTTTAGAACCTCCCATCTTGCACATATAAAATGCCACAGTAGATGAAGCCAGGAGCATCTTTTGAGAGTTCTCGCTGACCCTCTCCTACACTCCTGCTAGTGGTTAGCTCCACCCAGACAGCCTGCCTTGGTCTGGTCATATTAGTAACCAGTCTTTGTCCTCTGCACACGTTTCCTTTTGTGTTTCTCTTTTCTTACTGGTCCATTCTTTATTGTGAAAGTGTTTTAGTCAGAACTTTTCAGCTTTATGTTTAATATTTGTTAACATTATATACCTTTCCTCTTCCATAAGAATTCAAGACAACGTGTGTGGATATCTTTTAGACGATCAGTATATTCTCAAAAGAAACTCAAATGCTTTTAGAAATTTGAAGATCATATTGAGTGAATGGAATATACTCCCTTACTGAACTTGTTCTTGGTGTCTCTTTGTGGATATTGGACATTTATAGTATATCATGGCTCACTAGGTTCAACTCAGAGTCATTGGTAATGCTATTTTATATTCTCATTGCTGACACGTTCATACACAAAGGAACATTAGGAGAAGCCTCCCTAATTGTTGTCATAGAGCCTATCAATTAGCAGATGAGGACAGACTAACTGTCCACGAGGGAATTTTTCACAGGTTGAGAGTTCATATTTAGTGTTCCAAGGAAGCCTCATCAAAACCACTTTTAAAACATTGAGAATTTAGGCGAATATCATGGCTCATACTGCAGTGGGAGTAAGCCTTGGTGAGATCTCCCTAGGAAAGTATTCTTTAGTCCAGTAATTTTAAGGTCGTGGTGGGATACTCTCTGGATTAATGAAAACCTTCAAGGGTGTTTTTAGGCATAATATAACCCAGGAAAGAAATATGCTCAGAATATTTGTAAATCTTTGCCTGGAGTTTCAACTATTTCCCTGAGGCCATCAAGAATGCCAAGACCTGGAGGAGGGTGGGAGGAATTCCAACAGACATGGAGGGAACCCTTGAAATGCTAGTCCTACTCTGAGAATTTTAGGAGCAAGGGGAGCCTCTTTTTGCACTCTTTTTCTCTTGTTTTCACTTTTGCATATTTTCTTTCTCACTTCAACTCTTCTTTTTCTGTACTCCTCCTTTGTCCTCCTCCTTTCTTTCCTGATGGATTGGAGGTTTAATTGGTTCATATTATTTCTCCTACAGTAATAGAGATAGAAATTCAAATTCATTACCTGACTGGGCTATCTGGTTTTCAGTTTTTAGATGAGCAGATAAGCAATAATAGGATTTTTTTTAAATCTGAAAAATACTGAAAGACAGGAAAAAAGAAGTCAAATCACCCATAATCCCATTCCCAATTTTATTTTTAATTTATGAACTAACAAATGGAAGTCCTTCCCTCCCAGCCATCTAATCCCATTCCCCAGAGACAACCTCTGTTAACAGTGTAAGATGAATTTCCCCCAATTTTTCTCAATGTAATTAGATACACCTATATATCTATGTGCATACACACATAAATATGTGGTATATACTTTTTCCCATCAACACATCTGGGTCTGCAACTTGACTTACATACTATATCCTGGATATCTTTTGAAGACTGTATACATCGATCTCATTTATCTCTGTAATAGCTGCACAGAAGTATGTATCAGTTTTTAAAATTCTGTTTCTGTTGATAGACATTTAAGATTTTTTTTCAGTGTTTCCATTGTTTCTTTCTTTTTTTTTTTTAAGATTTTATTTACTTGTCAGAGAGAGGACATGTGGACAAGCAGGAGGAGCGGAAGGCAGAGGGAGAAACAGGCTCTCTGCTGAGCAAGGAGCTCAGCTGGGACTGAGTCCCAGCACCCTGGGATCATGACCTGAGTCAAAGGCAGACGCTTAACCCACTGAGCCACCCAGGCATCCCTCCATTGTTTCACTATATATGCTTATACATGTATCTTTATTTTGCTGTATTATTTCGTCTAGAATTGAGTCCTAACAGATTACTGAGTTGAAGGGTATGCCCATTTTAGATTTGAATAGGAATTACTTAAATTACTTTCCCCAAAGGGATGCCTATTTATAGGCTCAAAGCAGTGCATGAGAAAACCTGTTATTCCATTGCTTTTGTAGTACTGCATAGTTAACAGGATTTTTGATTTCTGCCAGTCTAACAGGGGAGAATGGCACCTGATTGGGTATAATTGTTTTTATCTGATTATATCTTTTCCTACAGAGTTTTACTTTTTAAAGAGCTTATTGACCTTTAATCTGTTTATATGGATTTCGCTGTTCCTTTCAAAAGAGCGCTTTCATCTTTCTACTTAATGAATGTTTATTACATATTTGAGGTCTCAGGATATTTCATTAGTCCAATTGTTTATAGAATTAATCCAAAATAGTTTATAAATCATTTCTCTTTCTTTAGAGAACTATTTAAAATGATTACTATGCATTTCTTCACCTGAATCTTTGAGTCATTAAACAAATTTATGTTTGCATAATGCTGATAACCGTGATTTCATAATATTGTAGCAAATCTTATCTGAGGTCTTCCTTATGTATTTGTTCTCTGACATGCAGAGCATTACTGTATGGTGGGATGCGAGAATCTCAGCCCGAAGCAGAAATCCCTCTCCAAGACACCACCGCAGAAGCATTCACCATGCTGCTTAAATACATCTACACTGGGCGGGCAACACTGACAGATGAGAAGGAGGAGGTGTTGCTGGACTTTCTGAGCCTGGCTCATAAATATGGATTTCCAGAGCTGGAGGATTCTACCTCTGAGTATCTCTGCACCATACTTAACATTCAGAATGTCTGCATGACTTTTGATGTTGCCAGCCTCTACTCACTTCCCAAGTTAACTTGCATGTGCTGCATGTTTATGGACAGAAATGCTCAGGAGGTGCTCTCCAGTGAAGGCTTCCTCTCCCTTTCTAAGGTGTGTCATCGTCTGCAAGTACTCTGCAGGCATGCATCACGTTATTTAGATCTGTGCAGCCAGAAGAGAGCCACAGACTAAGAATAAAAGATTAGGAACTGTCGGTCTGGAAGAGGTCGTCTGTCTAGCCGCCCGCCTCCGGCTACTGAGACTCTCTGTAGATCATATAAGAGAGAGGCAAATTCCTATTTTTCCTTTTTTAAGATTCTTCTGGTAGGTTCTACGCAGGGTGGGTGTTTTCCAAGTGACGCCTGTCAGATAGGTTCCTTTGTGGTGTTGCCTACTATTTTTTGGTTTTGTATCTCTCCAACAGAGAGGTACAACTAATAATTCCTTATTGTGAGAGGGAAGGTTCATAAAGGAAATCTGAGGTGTCCTTGGATGTTTTAAGTCCACTGTTTTTTGTGTTTTTTTTTTTTTGCTGGCTCAAAAAAATAGACTGTTTTGCTCAAATCTGTCCCTGAACCCTGGTCTCTCCTTTCCCTTTTTATGTTCCTCCAAGGACCTGAATATTTCAAATGGGACAACATATTTGAAAAGCTACGTATTTTGGCCCATATGTTTTTTACTATCCTACTTAATTTTTTGGAGGCAAGGGTCTTTGAGTGTTGCCCAAGTGTTGCTGGGGGTCAGTTTGGAAATCTGAAAACTAGAACTACGGGAGTGCAGTAATACTGTAGAACACAAGATTTCAAATTTTAAATGTCAGATCTATCTTACTGGCCTATAAATGCGAGCTCTCCTGGAGAGCCTGCATGGAATGACAGCTCCTCATGTTGCCATTTTTCTTCTTGTTTTATTGAAATAGGTGCAGATGTGTGGGAAAGACTAGACATTTGATGTAGTGGTACAAGATGCCCATGGCTGTTCATGGAGCTGTGATGGGCAAGAGAGCACATGGCACAAAGATTAAAGAAAGAAGATGATCGAAGAGAGTTGTTGAGATAGAAGTGATCCTTGCAGTTCTGTGAGGTTTTGCTGATTGATCATACATAGGACTGAACTCCATAATGACTGGAATTTTTTTTTTATCCTTTTCAGACAGCACTTTTAAACATCGTATTAAGAGATTCATTTGCAGCTCCCGAGAAAGATATTTTCCTAGCCTTGTTAAATTGGTGTAAGCACAATTCAAAGGAGAATCATGCTGAAATCATGCAGGCTGTGCGTTTGCCTCTGATGAGCCTCACTGAACTTCTGAACGTTGTGAGGCCTTCAGGACTGTTGTCTCCCGATGCCATTCTGGATGCTATTAAAGTTCGATCAGAGAGCCGGGATATGGACCTCAATTACAGAGGCATGCTCAGTGAGTACCTGTTTATCCTCATCTCCTGCAGATGTTTTCTCCCTTGTCTGACAGTCTCAGCTATAAAATGAGTTATAAAACTCTAGTTGCAGGCGTACGTGGTAAGTGTGGGTCTAAGAACATATAGTTTTGCTTTCTCTTGTTCTCCTCTTAATTCCCCCAGAGATTGTGGAGCCTTTGTAGACTCCAAAATAGGTATTTCTTGCTATTCCTGGACAAATTTCTTTAGCTGTTCCCTAGAATATCAGAAATAGAGACTTTCCTGAAAAGTGTCTTCTCATGCTAAGACCTTTCCTGCCTTCCTCCCTCAAATCAGCACTGAGTATGTGCTCTGTACTTATAATTATTTGAGGTACTGTGAACATAGAGATTCTAAATAGTAATAATAGCTATTTTCAACACTTATGTGATTGTTCTTATTAAGAAAAATAATAGCAATTATGAAGTGCTTATAAAGTGCTTGTATTATCAATAACAGTTCTACATGATCATTTAAGTCTTACAACAGCCTTTTGAAGTAGGTACCATTATTGTCTCCATTGCACAGAGAGGTTAAGTAACTTGCCCAATGTCACACAGAAAGATGCAGAGTGGAGAGACAGACCTGTGTAGTTAGGCTGTGTAATGAACTACTACGTTATGCTGTGTAACTGCAAAATATAATCTCAACCTTTGATCCTTTTAATATCCTTGTGGATATAAGACATACACTCCCATGAAAAGTTAAGTACAACCATGTTGAAAGTGAGTACATGTTGTGAATGTTGGAAGAGGATATGGCTTAGAAGGATTAAAGGAGATTTCATGGAGATTTTGAAGCCTGAGGTGAATCCTGACCTTGGATATTATGAGTGGCATCGGGGTGGATTGTGTTCTGAGGGGAGGAGTGGTTACGTTTGACAAAGTAGAGCATTTGAGAGACCGGGAATAGAAGAGGTGGACTAGAGCAGAAGGCTCGCATTGATTAACAACAATGTCTGTAAAGGTCAGCTCCGCCAAAATCATGGAAGTCTGTCCGACTAGCTTGGGATTTTTGCTTATGCCCGACGAGCAGTGAATTTTCGAGAGGGAGGGATGCATGAGTGTGATGATGGTTTTAAAAGTTTGATCCATGGTGCTGTACTTGCTCATCTGGAATAGAGAATTGGTTCAGGGAGACCAGCAAGGAGGGTATTTGACCTGCACGAGGTTGATACAACTGTAAACTGAAGTGGCTGTAGGAAAGAGAGAAAGTAAGTATGTATAAAGGAGATATTATTCTAAAAAATTAGATCTTGGTGACTTAAGGGATATTAATTTGAGGATTAAGTTTAGGAGGAAGTTACCTTATTTTATCAAATCTAAGAAACCAGAAGTTCTAAGGTGCCATTGTTTTCTGTACCATTAAGAAAGGAGTACTGCCAGTTAAACCATGACACACTGTCATATCTATATCCCAATTTCAGGAATGTTAAAATTTGAAAAAATATGTGTCTTAGAACTAAAGAAATTTAGTAGTTCTTTGAAGATGCTGAGCTTGATTTTAGACTTAGCAAGTTTGGGGGTTTCTGGAACATCTAAGTACCAAGTTCTGTCCCATGTTAGTCATTTCCCTGAGTAATCTTTTCCTTGACCATGTTCTTACATTGTCTTCAATACTGATTCATTTAAATAGGTGTCCTTAGTCTGGATTTCTCTCCTGATTCATCAGATTTAGATTTCTTTTCATTGGGGCCAGAAGAAAAAGTATTGGTTTTGGAGCCAGAAAAGTTTGACTTCAAATCCCAAATGAATTACTTATTAATTGTATGACCTGGCATTAAGTTACATAGGAATTTTACTGTTAGTCCTGTATTTCCTAGTACTGTTATGAGAATTAGTTGAAATAATTTGTGCAAATTATGTCTGGAAATTCAATCTAGGAAGCCATTGTTCTATTATCATTATTTGTGTTCTTCCTCCTTTCTGTATGTCTGTGTAGGAATTACCACATTGATTACATTGTTTTAAACATTTTTGTTAACTTATCTTTGATCCTTGAAGGCAGAGATGATCTTTGTAAGGTTTGTTGATCTTTGTATCCTCAACATTAATATGGCATATAGCGTATAGCAGACATTTGGTGAATGAACACATAGGAGTAGCAGTGGAAACATGTTACTGGCATTTAGGAAGCAGTCGGAGCTGGCGAAGAAAGAGTTGAGTCCTGGACTAGAGTGTAGAGAAGGAAATAAAGCTCAGAGTCTGAGATTTGGAGAAAACCTGCAGACAGGGGCCTGAAGCTAGAGAAAGAAGAATTAGAGAGGTAGAGAAAAAATGGAGTAGGGTTATAGAAGCCAGCAGAGGAGAGAACTTTTATGGAGAGAAGGTAGTCTCTGGTATTTAGTGGTGCTGGGAAGTCAGAAGAATGAGGATTGAGAGAAAACTTTGGGATCTAAGTTGTAGTTGCTTGGTGAGTAGTCTGAGCAGAAGCTTGGCTAAATGGGGAATTAGGCATGGGTTTGAAATGATAGTAAATATAATATGTTGACCATCCAGTGTGAATTGGAGTGAAAGGCAGTAGAGAAATAGTATAGCAGCTAGAGGGAATATCTTAAGAGAGATCTGGGAAGAGATTGGAGGTGCTAAAGAGTGGTCCTAGGTGGGAGGATGGAAGGTGGGGAGGTAACAAGATGAGTAATAGAATTTTGAAATTTCTGAATCCTCATTGTCAGATCTGCTCATGTAAGTTTCTTTTTCTCCCTTCTTGCCCTATCTTTGATTTGAGGTGTTGATAGGGCTCTACAACTGGATTCATTATAGGAATAAGCTTGGGACATTTTTTCAGGAGTGAGGAGATGCTTTGGAAACTTCATTTAGTTAATGGTAGCTTAGAATTGACCAGCTGGTCACTGGAGGGGTCAGACCTGGGTTATAATAAAGCCAGGAGATTACCATGAAAGGGAGTACTCAACCAGCTGAGGCACACTCAGTTCTGGAATGACATATTTACTATAATTATTACTCATAAATGTTAAATTATTCATCTTGGCATAATCCAGTGGGATCTCAAGGAAGAGATTATATAAATGTCTGAGAATCTTTTATCTCACTTCTGAACTTGAGAAATGATTAAATAGCAGGCTGGTTTTCTGACTTTTTAACTATGTGGGTAGTAAAATCCATAATATCAACTAAGGATGCATAGCACTTTCCTGTCAGCTCCTAAAAATATACATTAGTTATTCTCTAAGTAAATGTTATCCAGACATACCATTATTTTCTTTTATCACATTTCTTCTCTGTTAGGAATACTTGGTCTGAAATTTCAGAAGTCTTCCTGGATTGTTTCGGGAAAGGTAGTTATGCTTATTTTGAAACTGTTGACCAAATTTGTTGTTTCTTTGTTCTCCCCTGCATGTAGCTTCTGTGTCTTTGGGACTTTTCATGAACTGTGGAGAAGTTCTATTCTGGATTAGGGACACCACAGATACTAATGCTTTTTCTTTGAGTTTATTAATATTGGTTACTGGAAGGTTCAAATCTTAGAGCTGCATCTCCTGAGGATTTTAACCAAATTACAATTTTTTTCCCCCTTAAAAAAAGGATCCAAAGGATGTTTTAACTCACCAGTGATGGTAAGTCTTTCTAGGAAGGTGGTTTTGAGTAGGTTTTTTTTTTTGTTTTTTTGTTTTTTTTATTTGACAGACAGAGATCACAAGTAGGCTGAGAGGCAGGCAGAGAGAGAGAGGTGGAAGCAGGCTCCCCACTGAGCAGAAAGCCCGATGCGGGGCTCGATCCCAGGACCCTGGGATCATGACCTGAGCCAAAGGCAGAGGCTTTAACCCACTGAGCCACCCAGGCGCCCCGGTTTTGAGTAGTTTTGTACACACACATGGGGAAAGGAATTAACTTTAATGAAATTATTTTTTTTTCGTAGGTATTTGAACAACTTACCGGTCCCTTAATGCTTAGTTTTATCTTAACTATGGAGGTATTTCTGCCTTGAAAGTTAGTGCTTTTTCTGTTCAGGCTGAGTTATACTTTGTTTTGTGTGTCTCAGATTTTAGACTCTGGGAAAGAGGACAATATTATTTCTTCATGTTTATAGCAGGGAGCATATCACAGCTTCCATTCTCAAGGTTTCTTTTTTTTTAAGATGTTATTTATTTATTTGAGAGAGAGAGAGACACAGAGAGTGTACAAGCAGGGGGAGGAGCAGAGGGAGAGAGAGAGTCTCAAGCAGACTCCCCGCTGAGCATGGAGCCTGATGTGGGGCTGATCTGACCCAAAACCAAGAGTCAGTTGCTCAACCAACTGAGCCATGCAGGCACCCCTGAAACTTTAATATTTTTAAAATTCTTTGACATATATGTTATTTATCCTCCCAGCTATAGTTGATAGTATCTTTGTCAGTAAACTAGGGGGTTCACAAAGAATCCCTCCTGAGCATTCCTCTGTGGAGGCGTTTTATGTATGATACACACTTGTCTGTATGAGATGATGAGCTGCTGGAGGGTGAGTCCAGCATAGTCTGGCACAGAGAAGGCAGCTTAGAAATTTTTTTTTTCTTTAAATATATAGGATGAAGTCCCATTCAGCTCTTAGAAGCTTTTATTCTGTGATCTTTATAAGTAACTCGCCTGAAGTTACTGAGTGGAATTGAAGCCTGAGCTGGAACCAAAGTGCTGATCTGACTCACAAGACCAGTGCTTTCCAACAGAGTCTCCTGCCTGGGTTATTTTCTGTTTGGTGTTTTGTGTTTGGCATGTTTGAGCACGAGTACTGTCAAATGTGGAAAGGAGGCCTGCAGAGAGTGGAGATAATGGGAAGAGTTAGGGAAGACAGGGGTTGTCAAGAAAGCCCTTTGTAATGCTACAGTTGTTGGATGGCCGAGCCACACATCTTCCAGGGAAGTCAGGTTGAGGAGTACAAGGTGATTTGGGTTACAGAAGTAGGTAAAGGGATGGCAGAAGTAGGTAAAGGGATGGCAGTGGGCAGATAACCAGGTGTGGCTCCAAATGACCCATCAGGAATGGACAACTGTCTCAGCCTAGATGTAATAGAAAGTTCAACAAAGGGTGATTAAAAACATAACGCAATCAAAGGAAAACACAAGATAACTAACCTGGCACCAGATTTTGGCACTGTCTCGCTAGCGTTCGGTCCTACTCCATTTCTCCGTAGCTTTTCTTTCAAATAATGGCTTGTTTCTGCCTAACTATGGAACTTCAGAGCTTAATTTTTTTTTCATATTTGTAAAATGCATCCAAAATTACAAATGCAAAGAAAAGTATGGTTATCTGCTTGGTTGCTTAATCCCTAACACCCTGTATTTTTTGAGAGCTCTTTTTTCTGAGCTCTTTTTCTCTGAGCCCCATTACAGGCAGTAAGAATATTTATGGTTTGAGTTGTTTTATTATGACTTGAATTTTCTCATGATCACTTTTTTTCTTAAATTCTTCTTAAATTTAACTATAGGTTTTGTACACGCATGTGTGTGCGCACAGCACACACACACACATGCATACACACACAAATACTTGGAGTTGTATTTTTATACCACGAGATACTCAGATTATAGTCACTATGAGAGAATTTCCACTTGTGTGTTTCCCATTTTAAAGTAAAAGATACTTTTGGGGGAATCTGTATCAAGAATAGTTAGAAAAGTTCTCAAGTGCTCTTGAAATAAACTTCAAAAGAAGACTTTAGACTTGTGGTAGCAATTTCATTTCCATTTTAGACTTTCAGTTACACTCACTTGAAACCCTTGTGCCTGTGTGTTATTCCAAGCCTACTAAATTTTAGAGATGAAAAAGCTTATGTTTAGAGAAAATCAAAGGTTAGCAGCACTTTCTAAATCTGAAAGCTTGAGTTCCCCCTTTTTCGGTGTGGTCTTGACTAGTGGTGTCAGAACTGGTGGAGATGGTTCCAGTGGTCAGCAGTGACAGACTTTAGACCCTCCCATTTTATACCGAGTAGCAAGGGAACAGAGATCTCTTTTTACCAAGGGTTACACATTACTGACACTAAAAAGTGTCAGTTGGGAGTTTCTGTTTGCTTGCTTTATGAAGTGCTTCATCTCTAGATTGGACACATCAGGAGGGCAGGGCCCATCTGTCTCATTCTCTGAGGTACTCCCGTGGTACCTGGTACAGATTGAATCCTCCGTAAGTGTTTTTTAACTGAATGTTTTATATTTCCAGGACATTGTAGCATATATTTTCTGTAGTCTGATCTTTACAGTAACACAGAGGGTGAGTTGGACACAGTATTATTTGTAGATGAGAAAACATGCAGATTCAGAGACTGAGTGGCCTCAGGCAGAGGCAGTGTACGGTAAAGCCAGAGTCTTAGACTTAGGTCTTCTCACTTTAAATACAACTCTCTTTGTTTTTACACTGTATCAGACTCTGTTTTTTCCCTCTGAGTCTCAGGCGACCTTTTAGGGAGGGGATTAAAGGGAGAGGAGTAATACGGTCTTCTCCTCCAAAACCCTTATGATGGAGGTGGCAGACAGGGCTCCTGGAGGCAGACTGCTGGGTTCTAATCACAGCTCTGTTACTGGCTGGCTATGTGACCTTAGGCACCAAAGTCCATCCACCCTTTCTCTGCACCTACTTCCCCATCTGTGAAATGGACATGTAATAGTATTTCACTCAAAGGGTTGTGAGGAGTGAATCAAATGAATTAATAAGGTTTGTTAAATAAATGGGAAATGCATAATGAAGAATATGAGTACCATGAACTAATAGAACTCAGGAAGTTATAAACCTGTATCACATAAGCACAAAAGAGGTTGAACATGACTAGGTTTCATTTTGGTTTTTTTTTCTGAGTTGCCTTACCCTTTTGTGAGTTAAATAGACCTACTTCAGCCCCCATTTGTCAGCTGCATTTATTGTCATCTTCTGGAATCATTCCCTTTACCTGGCTGCATCCAAAAAATGTTTTCAATTAATTTTTTCTTTTGTAAGAGACAGAGTGTGTGCGTGATCAGGGGGGCGAAGGGGGAGAGAGTGAGAGAGAATCATAAGCAGGCTCCATGCCCAGCGAGGAGCCTGACATGGGGCTCAGTCTCACAACCCTGAGATCATGACCTGAGCTAAAAGCTAGAGTCAGACACTTAACGACTCAGCCACTCAGGCGTCCCTGAAAAATTTTTTATTAAAACCCACATTCTTCAAAAAGAAAAAACAAAAACCCACATTTTTGAAGAAATATGCAGTGGTGAATTACTTACCCCGTTTCCCTAAGAGCCTAATTATAGCTCACACTTCCCCTATTTAAATCACATAGCCAAGATGTATATGTGCTGTGAGAATTCAGCATTTATCTATAGTCTGTAAACTTGCTTAGTTCTCTTATTGTGTGTTGTTTAGTATATGCTTCATAATAATTTGATAATTTTTTTAGAGCTTACTGTGTGCATCTCATTTAATCCTTCCAACAAATAAACAAAAACACCCCGGGCTAGGTATTGCCCTCTTAAGAGACTGAGGTTCAGAGAGGATAACTTCCCCAAAGTGGTTGGCCTGGTTAGAGGCATGACCACTGTTTGAACTCTGATCTGAAGCTCAAGCTCTTCACAACTGGTTTTTGCTGCCTCCTGTCTCTCCATGGAGAGTGTCACTTAGAACGTTGGCACCTAGAGGGCAGGCTGTAGATCTGTGAGGCAAGCTTTGTATAGAGAACTTCAGAGTTCCAGAAACAACTGATACTTACAGTGTGGAAGAGGGAAGAGGTTAATTATATAATTATTATATTGTATATATGTTAATTATTATTATTATTTCATTATTTATATAAGTATTATATCATATATTGTTAATTATTATTTATGTATAATATATGATTATTATGTATTATGAATATTATAATATAGGAATAAAATTTATAACAAATACATAATAATAATTATATAATATATAAAATACTTATATATTATAATATTTATAATAAATATATAATAAATAATTATTGTATTATCTTTTACTTATATATAATTATATTTATATATAATAATTGTTATTTATTTTAATTATATTGTATATATATTAATTATATAATACTAATTTTGATGACTGGCTGAATTTTCTTTTTTTTTTTTTTTAAAGATTTTATTTATTTATTTGACAGAGAGAGAGCAAGAGAGGGAACACAAGCAGGGAGAGTGGGAGAGGGAGAACCAGGCTTCCCGCTAAGCAGGGAGCCCAATGTGGGGTTCAATCCCAGGACTCTGGGATCATGACCTGGGCCAAAGGCAGACGCTTAACGACTGAGCCGCCTAGATGCCCCTGAATTTTCATTTTTAAAATGCTCAAGTGAAGTAAAAATACATCTTCTTTTATATATATTATTGTTTTCTCGCTAGATTAATTACTTCAGCGTGTCCGCATATAGTCCATGTCCAGCAGCTCTGCTATATTGGAATGTGTCTTCTGTTGTTTAATCAGATATCTGGTCTGTCTGCTTTGCTTTTATATGTTGCGGTCAGTCCAAATGGCGGGTACAGGTCATCTTATATGCCAGTTTTGTCCAGTATAGATATTAAATTAAAGCTACTAATCAGGGTGCCTCGGTGGCTTAATTGGTTAAGCGGCTCCCTTTGGCTCGGGTCATGACTCCCAAGTCCTGGGATCGAGCCCCACATCAGGCTCCTTGCTCAGTGGAGAGCTTGCTTCTTTCTCTCCCTCTGTCTGCCGCTCTGCTTACTTGTGCTCTCTCTATCTCTCTGTCAAATAAATAAATAAAATCTTAAAAAAAATAAAGCTACTAATAGAGTGAACTCAGAGCTGATTTGTTTGTCCTAGTACATGGCTTTTTTTCCCCCCCTAGTATTCCCAGCTTTTTCTTAGTAACATTACTCTCAAGCACTCTGTGGCTTTGGTGGTGTCATTAATTTTAAACTGTGGATGGTATCTTAATCCTCACAGACATTCCACATCCTCTATCAGAGACAAGTCTCTGCCATTTTTAAATGAAATACATATAGTAGAATCAACTAGAATGCTAGAATTTTGTCCTTTTTCTCACAGTGTAGATTAATTTACCAAGTAACCATTAACCTTGCTTTTTCTGTTTTTAACTGTAGTCCCAGAAGAAAATATTGCAACCATGAAGTATGGAGCCCAGGTTGTAAAAGGGGAGCTGAAGTCTGCCTTATTAGATGGCGATACTCAAAACTATGATTTGGATCATGGATTTTCCAGGCACCCAATTGATGATGACTGCCGTTCTGGCATTGAGATTAAGCTAGGTCAACCATCTATCATCAATCACATACGGATACTCCTGTGGGACCGAGATAGCCGGTGAGTGATTACTATGACATGGACAGAAAATGACATTATGTTTGATTGACTTGACCTAATTTTGGTTTTACAGATTTGGTGGTTTATTTCCTTCGGATTGTTTTGCTATTTCTCTTGAAGTTTAGTTCTGAGGGAAGAGTTAAAGGCTATACTCCTTTTTAAAAAAATGTTTTTTACTTTTTTTCTGCTTATAAAAGTAATGAATAGTGTTTATCATGGAAAACATAGAAAATATAGAAAAGCACAAAGGAGAAAAATAGAAATTGTTAGTAATCTCACTGGCCATTAGTAATCTTTGTATATATCTAACAAGTATATGTCTACCTAGTATTTATCTATCTAACTTTGTATATATTTGACTAGTTACCCGCACATACACATACACAAAACAGAAACCACACATAGTTTTACAAAATAAAGATGAAATGTATAAAGGCTAACTTCACTTTGTAATTCATACATTGTGAGCATTCTGCTCTTTAAATATTCCTCTAGGGACGCCTTGGTGTGGCGCCTTGGTGTGGCTAGTGACTGCCTTCTGCTCAGGTCATGATCCTGGAGTCCCAGGATCCAGTCCCACATCGGGCTCCCTGCTCAGCAGGGAGTCTCCATCTCCCTCTGACCCTCCCCCCTCTCGTGCGCACTCTCTCTCTCTCTCTCTCATTCTCTCTCTCTCTCAAGTAAATAAGTAAAAATCTTTAAAAAAAGGTATTTCTCTAAATAAAATATTGCTCTACTGTTGTTTATGGTTGTTTGGTATTCTGCCTTCTGGGTTAGCATTTTTTATTTACTTGATTCTTTACTTTTGAATATTATGACTTTTTAAATGCATTTTATCCTATGGATGAAGAAAAAAAAATGTCTTTTAGTGGATTGATAAATAATCATCCTCAAAATAAAGGAAGTTTGTGAAAAATATTTGGTGGGCTCCAGCCTCGGAACCCACCCACTTTGTAGTGGCTTCAAGATTCTGCCTTTCTTGGGGCACCTCTGACACTTATCACCCGCCGTAGTTTCTAGGACTCATCCGTGATGCTAAAAAGTACCAGAGCAGTTGGGTGACCAAGAAGTGTTTCTCTCATCACTGCCCATCGTTAACCTAAACCCTACATACCCAGAAACTGGTATAGTCTTTTAGGCCCTACTCATGCCTCTTTGAGTCTGGGCATGGAGGACTTAGTAGTAATGGTGATGATACCCTTGCATGGTAATTCATTTCTGTTAGCACCGCTGGCCACCACTTGGGCCTTTTAGGCCCTTTGAACCAAATACAAGGGAATCTTCATGAAGTGAGAATCAGTATTTCTCAGAGGCACAGGTGTTCAAGGTCCCCAGGTTGTCTTTATCTGTTTCTCTTTATTAAGAATATATTTCCTGATGGGCACCTGGGTGGCTCAGTTGGTTAAGCAACTGCCTTCGGTTTGGGTCTTGGTCCCGGAGAGCAAGTCTCGCCTCGGGCTCCCAGCTCCACAGGGAGTCTGCTTCTCTCTCTGACCTTCTCCCCTCTCATGCTCACTATCTCTGTCTGTCTCTCAAATAAATAAAATCTTAAAAATATATATATATTTATTTTCTGATATGTATCTTATTGGATATAATATATGTTTAATTGGCAAAATGGAGCTGATTCACATATCATTTCCAAGAGTCTCTGGGTTAATAATAATGGTATAACAATAATTATATAGCACTTTCATTACTTTTATGTGGTGTAGTAAAAACTTTTCTCAAAGTTTTACATATATTCACTCATTTAATTAATAGTGAAATTAGTATAAAGATAACAGAAGAAAAGTTTAGTATGTTTCAGACTGAAAGTAGTTATAATTTCCATGATGTTAAATATTTATAGGCCACTTTGTTTTAATGCGTGCATTACATTCAAAAGGGGACTTAACCACGTAGCAGTTCTTTCTTCACAGAAGTTGTTATAATTCTAAGCAAAGGTGAAAAATTCAGAATCTTAAGCCCAAAAGATCCTGACATGTGTTGTAAAATTATATCCTGCATTACTGATAACCCAGAGAGGTTCAATAAAAGGTTATAACCAGTTTGAGACTGAGCGATAAAATGAATGGGAGTGAGGGGACAGCAGAAAATGAGGGGATGACACAAAATAAGCTGACCTTTTCTGGTCACAACTGTTGGTTGCAGGCTGACATTTATGGTCACCTAAATCTTCTGAGATTGTTCCTGTTGATATTACAGTACAAGTAATGACTGCATCTCAAATTTAAATTTGGCTTATGACAGGGGAATATAGATTTGTGCAGTATGGGACCAGCATCTAATGGTCCAGCATAGCGGACTAGGGGAGGATGATAGGCTATTTTCATTACTGCCAGATTATTAGTTGCCAAATTCTATGTTGTACCCAAAAGAAACACATATTATCTCTACACCATGTCATTTATTTTTCTTCAGGCCACATATTTGTGTGGGATGGTGGGAGACTGAGAGGGAGCAGGAGATAAGCTGGCCTTCCTGGGGGACCATTCTGAGTTGGCTATCCTGAGGGAATAGGGCTGGACACCCAGACTAGGAAAGGTAGAAGGAGAAGGCACACCTCCGACTCCTCGATTTTGTGTCCTCTCTCTGTCATGGCTTTATGAATCTGCTAATACAGCAGGAGCAAGGCATCCTCGCTCTGTTTGGAAAGGAACAATTATCTTGCATGCTGGATATGTGCCAAACAGGGTGCTGGGCCCTGAACAGATGAAGATAAATATGGCATGCTCCTTGTTCTTAAGCAGCTTGCAATCCAGTAAGGCATACAAACGTGCAGAGAGATAAGTTCAGTGCGTTGTGGTGCATGCTATGATAGTGGGTCTATACAGATTTTATTATTATCAGGATTTGACTGTTATACAGGAAGTTCTGATAATAATTTGATTGTTATGCAGAAAATGCAATTAGCAAACTGTGTATTTTTTTGTATCTTTTAACATTTTATTAAAGTATGACTTGTTTTTGTTATTTTAATATGGTACTTTTTTCTGCGTTTTTCCTTTTGATTCACAGGTCTTACTCATACTTCATTGAGGTGTCAATGGATGAACTTGATTGGATTAGAGTGATTGACCATTCGCAGTATCTATGTCGTTCTTGGCAAAAGTTGTATTTTCCAGCCCGTGTCTGCAGGTTAGTTCTCATGGCTAATTAATGATTGTGATGTTTTATTTAAGGAAATGTGAACCTTGAGAAATGGGCTATATTTTTTTTTGTCTCAAAGAAGAAGACTTTTTCGGGTTATCAGCTACCAAATGCATCCCAACTAAAAAACTTAGGGAAAATATGAAAACAAAGCATCTTAATTCTAGAGTATATTGTGGAACTGTTTATCCAGTGTTTTGTCCCATACGTATGCCGGAGACCTGCCGTGAACAAGTAGGGACAGAGCACAGGAGAAGTGGAGATGCTCTTTAAGCTCCAAGCTAGACACTGAAAGCAGAGTGATTGTTAGGGGCTGCGTTCTTCCCACAAAAGCCATGGGAGATATTTCTGGAGGCTTCCATGGTAGTCCTCAGAGCCAGGAGGAGATTCTTGGATGTTAGTGTGCACATTCTGAATATCTGTGTTCTTTTTCTAGGTCAGTGCTTATCAGCAGAGCTTGACAGAACAAGTGTATCTAGTGGGTTGGGTTTGGGGCAGGGGAGGTTGAGCTGCTGGGGCTCCAGGCTCGCAGCCTCCCTTCAACCAGAGCACCTTAGCTTTTATTGTTGTTATGCATTGTGGCCCCATGGAAGGTTGTTCTTAAAAATTGTTGGTGAGCTACTGTTCCGTGTGCATATATATATATATATATATATACCTATAATTATATAGGTTTTATAGAATTTCAGAAGGTTTAAACCATCTTTTAAGCTTTCTGAAATTCTATAAAACCTATACAATTAATGAATTTGGGAGGGGAAAGATAGTTAGAGGGGCCTGGAATTTTGCTGTTTTCTTTTTTTGTTTTTGTTTTGTGTTTCCTGTTGTAATTTTCCCCTTGGAAATTGCCCTCGGGTGTTCCTTATCTTAAAGTCAAAAGAGCAAAGGCAGAGAATGATTGGTTTGTCTAGACCAGTGTGGCAAGAGGAGAAGAAAAGGTGTATGGTGGGTGTAAACCAGGGACAGTGTGGGACTGGCCTCTTTACCCCCTCCTATCCCCACCCTCATCTATGACCCCAGCTGACCTCCCACTGTGGCTGTTTTGGAGCAGATGGGGTTGCCTCACGACACTTAGTCTCTTGGTCAGAAGACACGCTTATACTTAGTAAACTTACGCTCTAACAGCATCAGGCTGAATTCTTACCTCCATCAAGGAACTCCACAAAAACTTTCAGCGTTCTGGTACAGTAAAGAATGTCGCCTACATTTTTTTTATTATGGGTATGGCTGGACACAATATTGTTACCCAGGGATCCTCGTGTGTGAAAATGAAGAAAATCAATTTCATTTCCCCAAAGAAAGACTGAAGTGTTGCAGGTCTGGCAGTGGCTCTTTTATCAGAGGAGTTTTGAATGGATTAAAATGAGAGGGACAAGAAATTGAGTGAAGATTTCGTATCTCCAAGCTGCCTAGGGATATTTTGAGAGTAACACAGGGGCCCCATCTTGGAGGAGGAGATTGAGCCTGCATTGACTCACGTTACTATGATTGTATTGGATTAGAAGATAAGCAGCATAGCAACCAAAGCATCTATGTGGACTGAAGGACTGTGTTTGCAATTTGAAACAAGAGGAACATGGCTCCGAGAACAAATCACCATGAATATAATACTAGCCATGACAGAATCTGTGAGCTTTACCCACTCAAAAACCCCTACCATATGGAGGGGGATGTGTGTCCTCAGTCATGATCTCTGGCTTTTACAAGCTATACCGTCCCCTTATTTACTAATGGGCAGTATTTATACTTCCCTTTTGTTATTTTGTCTCTACCATGTGGCCTTGCTTTTGTTGATGTAACTTTTATGTCTTGTAGAGGTCAGCGTATTGAAAATGCTCATTTTGGTTTTGGTACAGCCAGTTCCCAACCCTGCTGGAGAAAATTAGAGCAAAGGTGATGTTAGAGATAGCGACAACAAGAAAAGGAAAGAGTCTTGATAGCCATATTAAGAAATAAAATTAAAGAGATATATTACTACATTCCTTTATAAACTCTGCCTTTTGTAAACGGTTGGGATTTTGGTAGTATTTTAAAATGAACCTAAGAGTAAGTCTCAGTTGATTTTCCAAGGATGTCCTATACTTGGTGTTTCTTTTCTTTTTTTAAAAAGATTATTTATTTATTTATGTATTTATTAGAGAGAGAGTATGAGCAGGGGGAGGAGCAAAGGGAGAGGGAGAGAGAGTCTCAAGCAGACTCCATGCTGAGTGTAAACCCCAACACAGAGCTTGATCTCATGACCCTGAGATCATGACTTGAGCCAAAACCAAGAGTTGGTCGCCCAGCTGACCACCCAGGCTCCCCTATGCTTGGTGTTTTTTATCTTCACAATCATTTATTGCCTGTCTAAACAATGTTCTAAATACACATTTTCCAGGGACTTCACTGGGCACATATACATTCTTTCTCTTTGCCTTATTTAGTTTATTTGTACATTTGTATGTCACCTTTGTTTTTCAGTATCCTTTGAGTATTTGTCTTGTCTCTGATACTAAAATTACAACTTCTTGGAAATAAGGAGTAGAGATTGTGATCTTTTAGTATTCTTGGGTGGTACTCAGGCTATGAGCTAGTATGTAGTAGATGCTCTATAAATGTTAGCACAGGCTTCCTGGGGTCAAGGCACTGACTGTATAATGAGGAGAGATCGATTCAGCATTAATATGTGTATATATTCATTGGTACTTTTGATCCATGTATTTGTTAAAATGTGTATCCGTGCTAGAAAGGTCTCAGGTACATCGTTTGCAAAGGTAATTTCCTATATTTTCGTGAGGAAGCCAAATTTTGAGGTTAATCCTGAAGGATGTATCATTATCGAGGAAAGATTACATCAAATATATTCACAAGAGAAGAGTGACACTGTGAGTTGGGGAGTGTGAGATTACCTAGCTCTCTCTTGAGTCTTGGCTGGATTGCATGTACATTAGCACTGTGTTGTGAAAAAACAAAAAACAAATAAAAGAAAACCCCATGGTCTATGGAGTTAGAGCTCTTCTCACTCTCTGGTTTCATTGAATCCTGGCCTGGTGATCTTAGTGAAGTTGTGCCTCTCCAAGCCCTTGTTTCTACACCAGGAAAAACAGAAATAACAACACCGGTTAGGAGTCTGCTGTAGAGGGTTTAGATGACAGAGCGTGTGTATGAACGTTGAGTACAGTGCCTGGCCCAAAGTAGAGGCTCATAAAAACTAGCGGTTTTTATTTTTATTGTTTTTTGTTTTTATTATTTTAAAATTGTTGGTATTATTATTATTTTTATTTTTTTCTAAATCTTGAAACTCTCCACTGGCATTTGACCTTCAGAGGAAGAGTCATTCTTGCCATCATCTTTGGCCATGGTGGCGCTCACTGTGAGGAAACTGTTCCTGACCTCAGGAGCGTAGTCTCCCCGACACGTTTCCAGATTGCCAGTCAATACACAGCAGTCTGAAACATGCCTTAAACAGTACACTCCATCTTCATAACCTGGTAGTGATGTGTTCCCAACAGTTGTAATTTTGGTAAAGCATTTTTTTTTATTGTAGCAAAATATACATGGCGTACAATTGGCTTTTTATATATCTGTAGAATGTAATTCAGTCTGCACTTCACCTCATTAAGGTAGTGGACATTATCCAGTGGCAATAGATAGGATAACGTCAGGCTTCAAAGCGAGAGTGATTGCTCCAGCTGTAATAATGGTGAATGGACAGAAATGATCTGTTCTGTCTTCCTGGGCCGGTTTAGGAATGCGTTGGAGGTTAATTGGGGACTGCTCTATGTAGCCAAAAGCCTAGACTAATAACACACCCCGCTCAGCCCCCTCCTGGGGATGAAGAAAATGGACTTGTCCGTGTTAGTATAATCTTTCTTAAGCACTCAGAATCATGTTATGTCTTAGCAGCTTTCTCTTTCTTAGGAAAAGGCCATTTCTGCTTCACCTTTACATTGTCTTGTGTATCTAGGAAGCTCTCTTCAAGCCCTTCCATTGCCTTCCACGGCTTTCCTGGATGCTGGAGCCCAGGGCTGAACAAAAAATACTAATAGGGAGTGGCAAATATGGAGTGCCCTGGGGGTGTTTTAAAACACTGTCTGGCTGCTTCTCAACAGAGTGCTGGTAATTTGGCAGCCATATAATGTTGCCGAAATAGGAGACTTGAAAACACGGGTGTGAGGGGTGGAGGTGGATTTTCGAGCCTGCAGGTGGCTGGTAGCTGGAATCAGAAAAGTAATTGTGGGGCAAAACCCGGGAGTTGAGGAAAGGAATCCCACCTGAAAGTGCAGCCCTCAGGGTGTGCCTGTTGAGAGAGGAAGAAAAGAGTAGATGGCAAACACCTTTGCTGCAGGGGCTGGGCAGAGACAGGAGAGCAGTCACTGAAGACAAGGGACGGGAGGGATGGCCACTGTTCACACAAGACTAAGCTTCTGCCTTTCCTTTTGTTTTTAACTACCATCATGGAAATGTCTTGTTCTTGACATTTTTATTATCAAATTATAATGTGGGACATTTTAAAATCTCAGTAAAGCTTGTCCTCTGGTAAGGTTGTATCCAGTTCCTACCAATAGCACGTGAAAATGCTCTTTCTCTGAGCCCTTAACCAATGCAGGCTTGTCAACACGGCCAATGTGAGCTATGATTTGTTAAACAAACACACACACACCCCAAAACCCTTATTTTAATTTACATTTATCATCAATGAAGTATAGTATTGTTTAATAATGACCATTTGTTCTTTCTCATTTATGAAAAGCCTATTTTAGTCTTCTGCATATTTTTCTCCTGAGGCATTTATCTTTTTCTATCTTATCAGAACTTTATTTTGATATATTGATATATACACACTGAGATAGATATAGATATGCCATTGTTTTGCCCGTCATGTGTTGTGCAATTTGTTTTTAGTTTTTAGTGTTTTACTGGTACTTTTTGCCATATGGAATTTTACTTTTTAAAAAATGTAGTCCATTCTCTTAATCTTTTTTTTTTTTTTTTTTTTTTTTTTTGGA